GAGAGAAAAAAAGCCCCTACAAGAAATAAAGAAGCGTGTTTCAGTTTGTACCACTTCTGACAGGGCTAAACTTACTGGATGTCTAGGAATTTTGAAAAATCGACATGCAAGACAGAATCCGAGCCTACATCAACAGATTAGACAAGGATGAACATGTTACAATTAGACTGTCTTGAGATGGCTATACTTCTTGGATGGAGCTCAACCTTTGAAAGATTATAGCCAAGACATAGAAAGACAATTTGATGAAGGGCCATATGCCATTAGAGCAAAGGAAGGCTACATGCAAGAGTGAATAAATTCACACTAGTGTGGAACTTTCAGATAGGAAGTAAGAGAATACTAGTCTCATCTTGAACATGTTTTCATGTATATAAACATTCTAATTGCCTTGAAATTTGAATATGTTGTAGCTAGCGACCTCAAAAACAACAATAGAGGTGAAAAAAGCAATAGAAACTCGCATGCAAAGACAAATTCGTGCATAGCACAGAGTACTAGGCAGAGATGAGCTATTTGTCCTCCAACTGGGTTTTGAGATGTTTATGTTTGTTTGATTGGGCTAATTTTTGGATATATTCTACTAGACAACCAGATGAACAGGTTTGAAGAATAAGATATTTTGTTTTGAGTTCAGGAGAGAGGGGTTTCGAAGCATGCAACACATCTAACGGGTTTGGAAGGATATGGGGGAGTTGAGAGAGTTTTCTTTGGGGAAATGGAAGGAATAATTATATGGGAGTTACCTACCAAATGGACTAAACAGCATGAAAAATGTAATAGGTAGGGGTGGGAGGGTCTGACTTTGGGGTTTCTAAATTTTGACTTCTCCAAATTTACGATGGTGCCATTGCACTTTCGTATATCACAACTTCCTCGTTAAAACTCCGATTTGAGCCCACCACGTGTCTATGAACTCATGAGAGGGAGATCTACGGAATGATGCAACTCTAACTCCCAAAACTAATTCCGAACAAAAAGTGACCAAAGTAGCCCCTACCCCCAAGGGTAAAAATCTAACTTCACAAAATAAAATAATTAGTCGGGATGGGATGTTACAGTTAATTAATTACGTTGAAATAGAGTGAGCCTTGAAATTTTTTAAGAAACTAAAAGCCCATGGGTTTTAGTAAAAGGGGCTTTGGAAGAGATAAGCGGGACAAATTGGAGCAAGAGGCCCAAAGTGGCCCACCCCCTTGTGTTGTCCAAATGGAGAGAGAGGGAGATTCTTATAGTTCTCCCATGTGCTCTATATATGCACATCTTAGCTCATTTTCTTCCTAGGGTTTTAAGTAGGAGTGGGCACGGTCCAGTTTGGTCCAGTTCTCACCTCAAATCGGAACCAGAATGATACTATTTAATTGGTCTGATTTTAGTTATTTTTAAAAAAAACCGACCGGTCCGCTTCTCGCCAATTCTGGTTCGGTTTTGAACTGGATTAATTATTTTTTTTATTTTTTTAATATATTTTATTTTAAAAAAAATACAAATTCTGACAAAAATTTATTTTTTGGGCTTGAAAATTAATAAATGATCCAATTCATACAAAGAGAGATGTTTTGAAGTTGGACTTGAAAAAATATTAGTTATAAAATTAAAAATGTAGCATTGGATTTAAATAATTTTGTATAAATTTTTTTTATACACAACAGGTCCGGTTTGGTGCAGTGTGAAATTGGAACTGGAATTGGTTAGAACCAGTCTAGTCCGGTCCGGTCCCAATTTGATGACTTTTTTGGTCAACCAATTTGTTTTCGATTTTTTTCATCTAATCTAGTTTGAAATTCCGGTTTTCCAATCCCGATGCCCACCCCTAGTTCTAAGTCTTGGAAAGGCGAGGAGGAAGCGAGGGAAAACATAAAATCTCTCCCTTTCTTGGGCTAGCTAAAATCGGTCCCAAGAGGAGTGTTGCTAGCACCATACTACTCTTGTGAGTCATCATCCTTCCAAAGATAAGAGCTTGGTGTGGAGTCTTTGGATGTGACTACTTTATGACTTGGAGAAGAGGAAGAAAGTGGATCCTACCACCATCACTTGGCGGAATGCTTGGGTTGGACTCAAGTTGTGCCCCAAGAGTGAGTTTTTAGCTACCTTTCTCTCTTTATTTTCTTGTAAAGTAGTTTATGTAGCACATCAACCCTTTGAACCTCAAGATCCTTTGAAAGGTTTTGTTTTTAGGTTCTTGGGGAGAAATAAGACAGATGGGGTAGTGGCGGATGGGATAATTGGAAGGAGGTGTCTTTCATTTATTAAAATTTTAAGTTTTAGGGCTTTTTATTTTATAATTAGCCCTTATCTATTTATTTTTTAAATTGTATTCAAATAGTTTTTAATTAACAAGAATTTTAAGGGAATGGACAACATTAGCTAACAGTCCGAAACACAGGGACCAAATTGGCCAAATGAAAAAGGTAAAGACTAAATTTGCCAACGTAGTAAAACACATGGACCATTTTTACATTTAAGCCTACTTTTAATGGCTGATTAGGCAAGAAGCATTACATATGCATCCGAATCCACCACACACGGACTACACAAGAGACTATCTACTGATTCATTAACTTTATTTCAAGTTTGTTTTCTTGACAAACTATAGGAATATATTTACAAGATACTTATATAAAGAGCCAACACACCGGTAATAAAACTACACCACAACTAGACATCAAACTCATCACAAATACATATTGTCATCAATGTGGGTGGGACCTGAGACATTCTCTAACCAACTGAAGACACATAGCACTAGACCAAATTTGAGAGTTAGTGTACGCAAAGCTAGATGTGTTGGTTTTACTTAAATCCGCAAACACAGTTTTGAATTTTTTTCTTTAAAATGCATAGATTACAAATTACAATATGCATGCTTCGAGAATATATAGTGTTGAATAAAATGTTGAATTTTTTGTTCATCCACTAAAAAAAATTGGGAACTTATATATATATAGTCCCTGTTTATTGAGGAATTCCTCAAATAAATATCACCCTTTAGGGTCCCTTATGAATTTTTTTTTAAACGATCCAAATCATCTTTTTTTTTTAAGTCTACATTCATAGATCATCCTTGCAAAAAACTAGACAAATAAAAAATCGTTTCGACATCCTATTGTGTCCTACAAAATCAATGAACACAGTGCTTTAAGAAAGTACTAAAATTTCAATAATTCATTTGAGTGGTCAAATGATATCGAATTCAAGTGATTTTTTTGTAAAGATGATATTTGAATGAATATCTACAAAATAAGCTATTTGGATTAGTAAAATACAATACGGAGTGGGCTATACAAAGGTGTCCCTCAAATAAACTTATATGAAGGATCCTTTAATGAAATCTCTTTGTATATACATACATGCCCCTAACTATTGAGGGATCATTCAAATAATTTTATTTGAGGAACACCCTTTAGGGTTCTCTACAATTTTTTTTTCAATAATCCAAACCATCTATTTTTTAAGTCAATATTAATAGATCATCCTTGTAAAAAAGTAGATAAATCGGAAACCATTTCGACATCCAATTATATCATACAAAATCAACGAACACGGTGCTTCAAGAAAGTACTAAATTTCTATTACTCAATTGAATATTCAAATGATATCGGATTCAAGTGATTTTTTATAGAGATGATCTTTGAATGATTATCTAAAAAATAGACAGTTTGAAATGGTGAAATACAATGTGGCGTGGGCTCTACAAGGGTGTCTCTCAAATAAGCTTATTTGAGGAATCCCTCTATTGAAGCTCCATTCGAGAATTATTATAAACTTGTATTCATCCACTAATTTGTTTCCTAACACTAAAGCAATATTGACGCTTTTCTTACTCCGATACGATTTCTTCCGTTTTATGCACGCTTTCATAACATTGGTCTTATCCACCATAATTCTTCCAACACTAAAGTAGTGGAGCTTTTGTATAACGTTGGTCTTATCCACCATAATTTTTCCAACACTAACATAGTGGATCTTTCTTTCTCTAATAGATTTTTTTTCCTTTTGATGCAAAACGATAGTGGTCTCTAAGAAAATTCTCATTTAGTTCTAAAAATCTTAAATAAATCAATATTATCCCTCATGTTTTTTGTCTACACATCAATTTGGTCGACATGATAGTGTGTCATAACATGACTGATTTTTATGAATATTTTGACAAAATGCGATGAGAGAGACCAAGCTGATGCATAATTTTGCACCAAATAAAAAAAAAAAAAAAACTTGTTTTGTTTTTTTATATTAATTTGAGTTTTAAAGTTTTTAATAGCTAAAATTACTAAAATGCACATGTCACGTCAGCTCAATTAATGGTTTTATAGATAGAAATTGATGGAAGTGGTCAAGTGAGAAAATTTCATCAAATTTTAGAGATTTTGAGGATTAAGTGAGAAAATTTCAACTTCATAGAGTAAAATGAGACCGAACACTCGTTTTAGGGAGTAAAATAGTAATTAAGCCTCTTAATGATGAGATAAGACTTCTTCTACTCCATTATTCGCACTTTTAGAATATTTTGAACTTTTTTATCACCCACTAAAATTTTCCGACAATTGCCAACGAAGTTTGTTTGTTTTCCTCTGTTTTTATGCACAAATCAAAATTGTTTGAGTCTACAATTTTTCCAACACTAACATAATGAAGCTTTTTATTTTATTTTTCTCTGGAATAAGATTTCTCTCTTCCATGCACACTTTCAAACTTGTTTGAGTTTTTTATTCCTCCACTAAAATTTTCCACCAACAACACACTACACCTTTGTCTTTTAAAAAAAAATGTGTGTGATAAGATTTGGTCTTCAATTTCCTGCAACACTACATTTGGTCCTTCTTTTGAATTCCGGTAAACGAAACTTGGATTCTTATTTCGACAGAAAAAGGGAAGAAAAAGAAAAAAGAAAATTAGAACAATTTACAAACAATTTACAAACAAACAAACACTTGATTTCAGATTTTCTTTGTATTTACGAAAGGATGGAGCCTCATGGTAGGCTGATTTTGTTTACCTTCCTTCATGGATTCCTTCTTTTATGCATGAACACACCTCTGGAATCTGCAACTCTACCTAGTTGTAATACTTTTGGAAATGAAACTGATCGTCTGGCGCTGCTGGACTTGAAGAAAAGAATCACTCAAGATCCTCTCCATGTCATGAGCTCATGGAATGATTCCCTTCATTTCTGCAATTGGGTTGGCGTTACATGCAACCGTTGCACCAAAAGAGTTGTGATTTTGAAGCTGACTGCTCAAAAATTGGCAGGCTCCTTACCAAAATCTATAGGAAATCTTTCTCGCCTTACCGGAATCGACCTGGGGAACAACAGCTTTGCTGGTGAAATTCCTCAAGAAATAGGTCGTCTTGGAAGGCTGCGATCTCTCAACCTGTCTCGGAATTCCTTTGGCGGCAAAATTCCAAGCAACATATCTCACTGTACACAACTAAGAGCGCTTCGTTTATCTTTCAATGAGCTTATTGGATCCATTCCGAACCAAGTCAGTTCATTGGTGAATTTATATTATGTATCTGTTGCTGCTAACAATCTCACCGGAGCGATCCCAAATTGGATAGGAAACTTCTCTTATCTGCATATTCTTTACCTTTCCAAAAACAATTTTCGAGGAAGCATACCAAATGAGCTCGGGCGTCTGACACACTTGGCGGAATTTGACATTTCATTGAATAATCTGTTTGGTATTGTCCCTTCTTCAATCTATAATATTTCTTCCATTACAATTTTCGGTGTTGCTGGGAACCAGCTGCATGGAGAGCTACCACCAAATGTTGGCATTAGTCTTCCCAATCTCGAATTTTTTGCCTGTGGTATGAACAACTTCACAGGAGCTATTCCTGCGAAGTGGTCAAATTCTTCTAGACTTCAGGTGCTTGATTGTTCTGTAAATGGTTTGACCGGGACACTCCCTGCTGAAAATCTTGGAAGGTTGCGTAGCTTAGTTCGGATAAACTTCGGTGGCAATAGACTGGGAAGTGGGAAAGCTGGTGACTTGAATTTTCTCAGCTTCTTGGCTAATTGTACTGTCCTAGAGGACTTGGGTCTGGACCATAACCATTTTGGAGGAGAATTGCCAAGGTCCATAGCCGACCTATCTACCCAACTAAAATATCTTCTTTTGGGGGGAAATTTTATACATGGAAGCATCCCTGAAGGCATTGGGAATCTTACAAGCTTGGCCTTTCTTGGAATGAGCAAGAACTATTTCAGTGGTAGTGTCCCTGATGCCATTGGGAAGCTTCAAATGTTACAGGTACTGAATTTGTATTTTAACAACTTTTCTGGGCCGATACCGTCCTCCCTAGGTAACTTGACTTCATTGATAAAGTTACACATCAACGTAAATAGGTTTGAGGGAAGCATACCTCCAAGTCTTGGGAACTGCCAAAGTCTACTCACACTTGCCGTTTCTAATAACCGTCTAACAGGCACCATACCTAGAGAGCTTTTTGCGATTTCATCCCTTTCAATTTTTTTGGAAATTTCTAACAATTCTTTGACTGGTTCGTTACCATCTGAAGTGGGTGATTTGGTAAATCTTGTGGAGCTGGATGTGTCAGGAAATAAGTTATCAGGTGAAATCCCAACAACTCTAGGCAGTTGTATTATGTTGGAGAGCCTGTATATGCAAGGTAATGAATTTGAAAGAAAAATTCCTGAGTCTCTTAAAGGTTTAAGAAGCTTGGAAGAAATGGATATTTCACACAACAACTTATCCGGGGAGATTCCTAAATTTTTAGAAAAGCTCAGGTTTCTTAAGTGTCTCGATCTTTCTTATAATGATTTTGAAGGTGAATTGCCTAAAGAAGGGATCTTTTCAAATGCAAGTGGTCTCTCAATTATTGGAAACAATAGGGTCTGTGGTGGTCTCCCAAAATTACTTTTACATGCATGCTCCATCAAAAAGTCCAATTCATCATCTCATCGACTACTTGCCCCAAAGGTAATCATCCTTGTAGCTTGTGCAGTTGCATGCATAATTGCTCTGTCATGCTTCATTGTTGCTCGTTCGAAGGTGAAAAAGTCAAGAGGTGGCCTAGTAACTTCAGATTCTTATAAGGGCTGGAAATCAGTCTCTTACTTGGAACTTGTTGAGTCAACTAACGGCTTCTCTGTGGACAATTTGATTGGTTCCGGAAGTTTTGGTTCTGTTTTCAAAGGAGTACTTCCTAGTGATGGGAGGGCAGTTGCTGTTAAGGTATTAAATCTTCAACAACGAGGAGCTTTCAGGAGTTTCATTGATGAATGCAAAGCTTTAAGAAGTATACGGCACCGTAATCTTCTCAAGATCATTACTGCATGCTCGAGCATTGATAATCAGGGTAATGACTTCAAGAGTCTAGTATTCGAGTTCATGGCAAATGGAAGTCTAGACTCATGGCTGCATCCTAGAGATGATGAGCAACCTCAACAAAGTAAGAGATTGAGCCTCATCCAAAGACTCAATATTGCGACTGACGTTGCTTCTGCATTAGATTATCTCCACCACAGTTGTGAAACAACCATTGTTCATTGTGATCTAAAGCCAAGCAATGTTCTTCTTGGTGAAGATATGGTAGCCTTTGTTGGTGACTTTGGTTTAGCAAGGTTCCTCTTGGAAGCATCAGATAATTACTCCCAAAGTCAAACCATGTCAGCTGGGCTAAGGGGTTCGATAGGCTACATTCCTCCAGGTATCATTCTCTTTTTCTCTCTACCTAATAAGTTTATGACTAAGCCAATTTATTAAGTCTCTTCCAATAAAACAAAAGAAAGATAATCGAAATGAGATGTAACTTGTAAATGATTTGAGTGTGACATCATAATGCATGAATTGAATGACAGAGTACGGCATGGGAGGCCAAGTTTCCATTCTGGGAGATATTTATAGCTTTGGAATACTGTTGCTAGAAATGTTCACTGGAAAAAGACCTACAGATGACATGTTCAAAGATGGTCTAAGCATTCACCAATTCACAGCAATCAAAATGCCTGACCATGTCATGGACATAATTGACCCTTCATTGCTCATTGAAAGAAATGATGCACATGGCGATGGAGAAAGATACGAAAGTGAAATACGAACAAGACGAACCACAAGCTATCAGCATGGCAGCCCTATCCAAGCAACAAGATTGGAGGAATGTTTGGTTTCAGTGATGCAGATAGGGCTCTCATGCTCTGCAATATCACCAACTGAGCGGGGGCAAATGGATGTTGTTGTCAACACACTGAAGGCAGCTAGAGACTCCTATCTCAATTTGAGAAGAAGAAGAGAAGAATGAGCTAGCGATACGCAAGATAGAGTTAATGAGCTGCAAGAAACTATTTAAATAAGGATATCAGATCCATGTGTGTGAAAATTCAGCAAGGATGCTTTACTCTGTTTATGCCTGGACTTTCATATTGGCTTACTCAACTGCAAGTTAATTAAAGGTGTAATGTTTTGCACGTTTTCCATCTTTTTATTCAGTTTAATTGATTTTCAACTAGCAGCTCGGTTCTTGTGCTGTGGCTCTCACCAGTCCAGTGATTTAGACTGGAGCAGAAAGTCTTTGACACTGATTTAGTCTCTGCAAATTGCTGCGTGGCTAATTTGGTAAAAATCACGATGGCAAAAAAATGAAGACATGTTACAAGAAAAGGATGTGGGCGAATGAGAGCTAAAAGCTGAATTGGCCGTTGAGGCTTATGAGCCAACCAACGTTACCAAAACTATTTTCCTTCCACTAAGCTTGCAAGAATTCCTAGATGCTCTTAGGCCCCCTAGTTATGTTTTTAGAGAGCATTTTCATAGAATAAAAACAAGAAAATAAAAATGCATTTTCAAAGGACAAAAACTGGGCTCGTAGCTTAGTCAAAAATCAGTTTCAGGGAACAAAAACAGTGAAAATGTGTCTTGTACTAATATGTGAAACTGACAAAAACAGTGAATATGCATTCAATAGGAGGATTTTAAAACAAAAATTAACTAACATTTTGATACATTTATGTATGTAATTAGTCTAACTCATTTTTTATTATGCACACCAAACATATTTTCCTCAGTTGACTCATTTGACTAAAATGAAAGGGCTTGGATTAAATTAGATATTTTTTTATTTAAAAAAATTGATTTAGCTATGTATTTGGCTAAGTTTAAATTAGTCAATGAAAACATTTATTGGCTTTCATGATATAATTATCCAAGTTAATATCTTAACTAGCTATGACTAAATGTGTTTAGTCACACAAGTTTCTAGACCAAATATTACATAAACATGTTCATTGCCCAAAAAAAAAAAAAAACTACATAAAAAATTACAATAACATAATCAAGAGCCTTGGGTGGAATCACGCCACAAATCTTGTGCAATATTATCTCTAATGTTGGTCATTTGTGCAATATTTCTTGAAGACATCTTTGGTGTAGCCATATCTTCACCCTCAACAATCATGTCTTCTACTTGAAACTCTTCAAACAACCTATCACGACATGCTTCCCTTTGGATAAAATTATGTAACACACAACATGCAATAGGAATGCGTCGTTGCCTACACGGAGGATAATTGGGCATCAATTTCAAAATTGGAAAACCGGCTTTCTACACACTAAAACACCGGTCAATTACATTACGTAATGAAGAATGCCTATAATTGAATAATTCTGTAGGACCTCTTGGTACTCGGCGCGGTCCCCTATAATCACGCAAATGATATCTCTCACCTCGATAAGGTACCAAGATTCCATGCATATTTGTATATCCAGCATCCACAACATAGTAATATCTTATTAATTAATTCATTATTTTCATGTGATAATAATATTAGTAATAGTTTCAATTTAATTTTCTATATTTATTCATACCTTCCTCTGGAAAAGGAAATTCATTCTATGGCCTCAACACTGCATCTATGAACAGTCTAGAATCATTTCCAGTCCCTTCCCATCCGGTGTAAACAAATGTAAACATCATATTGAAAAAGCATGCGCACATAACATTTTGAGTAATAAGAACCTTTCTACCACGGTATGAGATTTGTTTTTGTGCTGGTGCCCAAGCAGCAACATGTGTCTCATCAATTGCTCCAATACACTTCTACAATATAGTTAAAAGTGACTAAGTTGAATAATAAAAATAACTAAATGGAGGCTTAGCTAAACATCTGTTTCCCATAAGAAATCCAAGCTTTTTCTCTCTATTGCTAAACTCATGAAGACTTAGCTCCCATGCCACAAGCCTCTCATGCCAAGCTCTTCCATATTGATTCACTAAAACACACTCTCATGCCAAGCCTGTATAGTCTCTGTACAATATGAACTCTTTCCAGAGCCATCTCACACCATTTATCAGCTGTCGTATGCCAACACCAAATACTTCATCTTCTCCAACACCTATTCCAATACTATTCTCACATTAAGAAGAGCACTTCCAACACAGTAAAATCAAGCAAAATCATTCCAATACCTGTTATACATCAAAACCTGCAAGAAGCCACTGAAGATGACCAGAATATTCCCTAAGAATCGGCGTTCTTTCGGGATATTTTGGGGCCTAGTCCTTTAACCCACCCAGGCAAAGGGGCAACTTCACTCTCTCTTTACAGCGGCCCAAGTCCACCTAGAGCTGCTGGAACAAAAAGACCCTCATAATGGAAAAAAGAAAAACAAAGAAATAAAAAGCTTCGTAAATGTATAAAACTAAGGACCAATTTAGGATTGCTGCCACTTCCGTGTTTGGTAAACAATATTTTTAAAATGTTGTTAATATAAAAAGTAGTGTGAAAACCGTTTGGTAAATTTTAATACAAAAATGTTGTAATTTTGGATAATTACTAAAATGGACATGATGTTGGTAATTTTAATATAAAACTGTTGTAACGGTTGATAATGACTGAAATGGACATCATATTGAAAGTGTTATGTGCTAACTAAGTGGTGGTAGTGGCGGTGTGGTAGTGGTGGTGGTGGTGGTGGAGGTGGAGTAGTAGACGATGTCATTTTTTAAAACTAATGATGATATTGTGGGAATTGAAAAAAATTCATTAAATGTTATTCTCTGCTTCTTGTGAAAACAACTTTCAAAAGCAACTTAGAGGTTCTTTTCAGGAGGCCATTGCTTTTAAATTAATCAGTGTATTTTATTTTTACCAAAAATCTTAAACTCCTTAACTTTAAAATAAAGCCGATTTTTTACCACCAAAAAAAAAATCTCAAACGGGACCTAAGTCCTTCAGACGCATTGGCCTGCTATCAAATGAATGTGCCTAACTTGCTCCCCGGATTATCATGAAAAACTATAGGGAAATGTAGTTTTATCGGTGCTTCACTGCACTAAGTGCGAATAGTGGTAGTGTCTACGCTTAGAGCATCTCCACCCACAAGGGCTAAGTCTAAGGCAAGGGCAAGCAAGGGCTGCCACTA